TTTAAGTCTCGATTAAAATATTATACTTTTAAACCTTCTTCTCACCCTTCAATAAAAATTACTATTCACTTTAAAACCTACGAAATAATTAAATATAAAATCCATCTTACAAAAAAATTCACAGTACAACTTCACTCTTTAACAAAAATACATAAATTTACACTCTTAGTAGTCATTCCTTACTTTTCATTCACGACTTTTATACTTTACTATTAAGGGTGGTTTGGATGAGCAATTCTAACTTATCAATCTGATCCAGTTGTCTCATTTTTTAGACCATTTGTTAAATTAATCCATTTTGCAGTATAAAATTTGGATGAAATAATTTGGCTTGAGAAATTTTGATTTAACTATTTTTTAGACAATTATAATTTTCGAAGGTGGGACATATAATTTGAATTAACTCATTTTCCGATTGATTTGAATTAACTCATTTTCCGATTGATCCGTCCAAGCGGCCCTTAAAAAATTCCCATCTCATCAACAACCTTTCTATTGATTAAAAAACTCATTTTTAATCAACTTTATTTTTTGTAAACACTTAACAAAATCTCTTTTCACAAGTTTCAGAAGAAGAAAAAAATCTCAAATTTTAGAAAAGTTCCCGAAAGTTAAGAAAAACTACAAATAAACACACACTAATGGATTACCTACCTCATTCATAAATCTGAGAAAAGGGAAATGTTGTAGGTGAGTTGTGGACAGAAAGACAAATGATTCACTATCATAGTACGGCATATGATGGATAATAAATACACGAAAGTGGGAAGAAGTTCTCGTTATGAATGCTCCAATTAATTATTAATCAGTCATTTTTCACATGCTATAAATCTTTTTTGCTTCTCATTATGAATGGTGGGGATGTGCCTCCCCTTCGTCCACTCGTCCCAACTCTTTTCTATGATTGTGATTGATCAGGTTCAATGAAATTCGATTGGTGTTTCAAATGACCGATCAAACCCCGGCCCGATTGAATCGTCGACAAACCGGCCGTAGTCAGTTAACTAAACCATAACGAGATTGGCCGACTCGAAAAAGATCCGTCCAAAATTCATCATATTCTAAACTCAAAATAAAAAATATATTCGAATAAAACTTACATCTCTTAACCCTGTGTTTTTTAAGGGTGGAAAAGGAGGGAAGGGAAAGATTAGGAAGGAAAGTGGGGTTACCAATAAATTTTCCCCCGTTTCCGAAGGAGGGCACAGTAACAGAGGGAGGGAGAAGGGAGAGAAAAATCACTGTACAACTCTCCCCTCCAAATCGGAGAGAAAAGGCCATGAATGCATTTTATTTTCTTTTTTTATTTATCAAGCCAATTAATCCTTCTAACTTTTCCTTTTTTATTTGCCAGCCCTTTTCTCTCTCCTCTCTCTTCGCTGTTGTCTTCTACGTTCTCTCCAACAAACTGAAACAGAGAAAGCCATCATACTCTTCTCAGTTCTCTCCCATAATCTATCCAAGCTTCCATCCATTCACCGTTAATCTAGCACTACTAATTAATTTTGGATTTTTGGCTTTTTCCCATCTGCAGAGTAGTGAGCAAAAGCCAACGATTGGGTTTAGCAGATAAGTACTTAGCAAATTAGCCGGTTCCCTTGTTAGTAATGGGATTGTGATGGCTAATCTTCTATGTTTTGTCATTATTTATGTCAAATTGTTATGGCTAATGTTCTATTTTTTTATTAATGAGGTAGAATGAGCAAAAGAGCGAAATAAGTTGAATAATTTTTAATTGATTTAGAATGCTTGAGCAATTATTATAAATTCTCTATTTATAATATTTTTGTTTATTAGTCACCGTTTATTAGTGGGTTCAGAAATGACTTAACACCGGTTAAAACCATACCATCGACAATTAGGCTGGAAAACCTCCTATCCTACCGGAGTCTAAATCGATATGTGATTTTAAACGTATAAAATCATTGATGTGGTTAAATCACGATTAAAAAAAAATCCTATAACTAATTTTTCCGATACAATTTCTAGTGCGGTTCAAGAAAGAAAATACAAATTTAATTAACAATTCATAAATAGAATATTAACATACAAACAAATTATTTTCATATTATATAACCAATAAAATAACATATTCATCACACTTCCCAATACACACTTTCCTTCCCACTTTCCTTCATAAAACAACATTTTCCTTCCAATTTCCTTCACCTCCAACTCTCCCCTCCCTTCCTAATTTTCCTTCACATCCCCTCCTTTTCCTCCCTTCCTTCGAAAACAGAGGGTTAATCACTTCAACTACAACCTTGTTGACAATTTATCTTACTCGAATTCGGTGTAAAGATGGGTCGAATCATGGCCTACAGGCTATGTGACATCAGTCCATCACTAGTGTAGCAAATGCGTAGGGAACGTGTACACTAACGCCTAACGTTGGTTAAAAATCAAATGACTACAAGAAGTCCTTTTTTCTATCTTAAATGAAGTGATTGATGGAAAGGAATCATCAAACCTAATGCAGGTTTAGAGAAGCGTCTCGTAAAGAAACATGTCCACATGGATTGTTCTATACGGAAACGAAACCAACAAAACGATCGAGATTAAGGTTGTCAAACCCGTGGTCGACCCATTTTGATCCTGGTCTGGTGAGAAAAATGAGTCGCACATATTTGTCGGGTCGATCGCTACAAGGTACCGGGTTGGAGGTCAAATTGTGTCATTTTTTTTATTTTGTTTGCGAAATGCGGCTATTTTTCAATTTTTCTTTTCGCCTAATTCAATCTTTGGAATTCTAAGTTGAACATTTGAATATTGATGTCATATAAGTGTGTGTGAATTTTCACTATATGTTGGATTGAAGTACGACATGTTATTTTGGTGTAATATTATATATTACAACTCATATGTTAGATGAGATTTCATATAATTTATCAGGTACAGTATATTGACTCTTTCCATATTTCCGGGCTAAATCTGACTAAAACGGGTAACCCATTAACCCTTGACCCACTAACTCGATCGGGTCCGGGTCAACCTGCGGGTTGACAACCTTGATCGAGATGCTGCCCAAACTGCAACTACATTGACACATCGATACATCGAACTAACTAGAAGGCCAGATCCTAAGGGCCATGAATGAATCGCTTGTCAAGTTTCAAAGCCTACTTTATATGAGTTTGAAATTTGCATAAATTTGATTATTATGTGCTTAACAATGGGGTCGTTGAGATTCAAACAAAAAACGGATCGATTATAGAAGGCTCTGATACCATGTAAAAAACCAATTGATCGAAATAACTTGAGTTGATGGAAGTAAATTGATTTTTTAAATCTTTTATCATTTACTAACACGCATGGCATCAACATGTCAAGAACCAGTTGATCCCAATAACTGGAATTGTTGGGAGAGATTCAATCGTGAATCATATACCCCATACTAACACACGCCCTCAAACGAAAGCTAGTTACCTCATAAGGGCTTTCGTTTGCACATGTCCTGAAACGAGAATACATGTGCTTTACAAATGGGGTCACCGGGATTCGAACATAAGACCTCTCGGTCAGATAAAACTCTAATATCATGTCAAGAACATGTTGATCCCAATAATTCGGGTTGTTGGAAGAGATTCAATCGTGAATCATATACCACAAATGAAGACAATCTCTCGTTAAGAACCGGGAAACAACTAGCATACCAAATACGTTATGAATTATCTTTAATTGCTCAAAAGCATGAAATTACTTTCCCATCTCAAAGAGGCATTCCATTCTATTTTATTTTTTCGGTTTCTTTCCCGGCGAAGGATAATGTAGCATCCTGCATCCTAACTTCTTTATCGTTTATTTTGGTCCTATCTCCGCACAGTTTTGATTTTCTGATGCATCATGACTTGACGAATTCTCCTCATATCACCCTTTTTTACACTACACCACCCTAAGCACGTTCAAATAAAAAACTTACAATTGAGATCATCTCTCGTTACTAATTGAAAAGACATGATTGTCCTAACATCTCTTAATGCTTATAGTTTACACACTCGTGAACCTTATGTTTTTTTCTTTTTCTTTTTTACATTTTTAGGTTCACCGCCATTTGTCAATTATCTCGATTCATCAATGGAGTTAAAGTGTACCTAAAGTAAGTTAGTAAATTGTGTGTACCAAACATATGCTTAGGGCTCTATGGACAGATGAATCACTATCATACGGTACGGCTGATGGACAATGTGAAAGCTTGAAAGTATTTGTTATGACTTCTGGATGGTGATTAATGAGTCATTTTTCACATGCTATTTTGTTCATTGTTTAGTGGAGTTTGTCTTCGTCCTTTAGCACTTATAATTTCTTATGATTGTGATTAATCAAGTCGGAAGACGTTTCTTTCTTCTTTGTAAGAACAAGGATGCTTAAATAACATCTCATCTTTATGTATTTACGGAAAAAGAGTAATTTAACGCCAATCTTATCAAAATACAATCGCTACCCAAGATAGCAAGCCACTAGATAAGTGAAAATTTCAAATGCAAAGAATGTCCTAGCAAATTAGGCAATTTGATCAAATAATCCTGAAACTATGAACAATTCCATCCAACTCTGTGTCAGAGTTTGAGCCCCTGATGTGAAAAAAAAAACTCCTGATAAAGTGCTCATTGTCCCCAACAATGTGTCTTTTTCTCTTTAGTGGAATGCATTCAAAAGACTAGAACAATAGGGATAAAAAGATACTTCAGTGAATAGTGAATGAACCAACTAGATCTAATCAATCCGGACAAAACAAGCCTAACTGACTTAAGTGATCGCCGGGTGGAGCTTAATAAAGTTTCAAGCTCGAGACTTCCTCAAATGAGAATTAATTTCATTCGATTTGGTCTGAATCAATCCTCGTCTAACAAGACGTTGCTCGACTTAGTCCACTAGTTTAGCAAATGCATAGGATAGGTATATAACCTAACGTTTGTTAAACCAAATGATTGCTAGAAGTCTTTATCTGAAAACAAATGATTTATGGAAAGGAATCATAAACCTAATTTGAGGACGGGGAGCCTTTCTTTCCTTCTTAGACAATAATTAAAAGGAGGCAATCAGATAAGCATCTCGCCTAAACAAGAACATGTTCACATGCATTGTTCTCTGCAGCCATCCAAATGTAACCAACAAACGAGCTGTTACCCAAACTGCAATCACAAGAACGTCCCTATTGCATAGAAACCAAACGGCCAGGTTGTGTCGGCCAGGAGTGGACTGCCAAGCTTCACATGGCAGACGTCATCCACACCTTTCTCCAGTCTGCACAAGGTTTCAAACTCAACAGTGACAACTAAACACTCGAGGATTACGCACGTTGCGGTTGTAATCCATATTATTCAATGAGACATTGCTTTTGCTAATTAGAATTCAATTTTGTTGTTTTTTTTTGTCTACCACTACTAGTCCACTATTACGATTTTTCTTGATTTCCCTAAAGAAAGTGATAATGGAATTCATCTCTCTCTGTGCACCCAACTTCTCGAAACAAATCGAACCTTCTCGTGCACCAGATAGGCTTCAGGGAAACCCTGTTACAACAAGATACATTCTGAGATGTTGCTGCATGAGAAGCAGGAAATGTGCCTGACTCCCCACATCTCAAAGGCATGACCTATTTCCCCCCTTTCATAGAGAATGATATCCATACAGTCTTTATGTTGTACAAATGGTAATGTCTCTATTCTTGTCTCGTTTCGTCAACTTTCACGAGTTACAAACGCGCATAGGAGGGGTTTTTTTGTTAACTTCTATTCATGGGATTTATCCAGAGTTCCTGTACTTACTCCAGAAGCCTTACAGTAATAGTAGGTAGCCGACCTATCCTGTACTTACTCCATCATCCTTCCCTCTCTCTACATTGATGATGTTTTGATACAGCACGATCAATGGCGCACGAATATCTACCTTCCGTCGTCTGTTAATGTTGTCATAGGAGGCCGAGGTTTTTCAGTTGCTGAACGTGCTCCGGTGGAAGGGGCGGAGGGGTCCAATCAGAACTGGTCATCTCTCCATCAACATCCTCGACCACGTACTCCTGAGAGAGCATACAGCATATATCACATGAAATTCATAGTGCCACAAGCCAGGTGAAAACAACACGCAGGTAACTATTAACATCACGATGAGCAAAAATGCTTCGGTACACAAAGTATGGGTTAAAGGTGTCAAGCTGCTCTATTTGATTCGGCCAGTTGGATTTTGAAGTCCACTTCTCCAATTCGAGCATAATACAATGAACAAACTACATGGATAAAAACCATTACAGCGATATCATGGACACAAGATCTGTGCTATTCTACATGTTCCCTACTCTTGAATCACGGTAACCTTTTACAGCTACAGGTCATAGTCAATGGCTTTTACAAGCCTCCCTTGAGTAGGGGTGTTCAAACGGTGTGGTTACCATGGTAACCGTTTTAACCAGTACTATTTAGATAATTTGGTTAATTGGTTTGGTTAAAGTTTTTAGTTTGTTTGGTTTAGGTGGTTTGGTTTGGTTTCACACACTCCTAACCAGTCAAATCAAATTAACCAGATAAATAATTAGCCATATATTTAATATATACACATACTTAATACTTTGAATAACCACTCAAGAGTTAAACGTTCATCCCTTTTAGACTCATAAAATATAAAGCTTGATATTGTTCCTATAATGTATATTTGTATATGTAGAGTGTATAGTGTAGACCACAACATATGAACGTCTAATTTAGATAAATCTCATACATTATGTTGGATGAAAACTTGAAAGCAAGGTCCTTTTCAGCATATGAAAATTGCTAAAAGACTAAGTCAATTCAAACAAACACAACAATTCATTAACCCATACCATTGTGATGAATTTTTGCTAGGTGAATACTTCTATACTAACCGTAAGATAATTGTCTTTGTTGCATGTATTTATGTTAAAGGTCAACTATAACCAAGTGTTGATTGTTATGTTTTATTCATTATATAAATTGTGAATTGATAAATTACCGAAATTTTTCTTACTTAATGATAATGTGATTTTATATTGGTTAATCTAGTTGACCAATTAACCAAATCGATTAAACTTTAGTTTGGTTAATTTGGTTGTTGTATTAGTTTGGACAGTTTGGTTATGATATTGTATTCCATGGTTAATGAAATTTAGTCTTATTTGGTTTGGTAATAACCATGGTAACCATTTGAACACCTCTACCCTTGAGAGGTTAAAAGGGTTTTGGGATGCTCCAGAAACTTTCAGTTCATCTTGGAATGTCATCATGGAAAGTCCCAATAATCACTTGGGGTAATGTTGTTGTTCTTTGCGAGACTAGGGTAACCGTGTACAATACTCAGAAATGTAACTAAGGTCAAATGAATTATTAATTTGCTTGCTTGTTACATAGTAATCGCACTGCAAAATAACCTAGGAGAAACTACGGAAGATAGAGCTACTAACCTTTGTCAGCATCCGTTTGGCAAGTATATGATAGTGACGCTGCCAAATCCGTTGCCCTACCATCGTAGCCACCAAGACGCTGTAGAATATTCCAATGACAGTGAACAATCCGAGCACAATCAAAGCCATTATAAACAATAAAGGTAGCCCTGCTTCGCCAGCACCCCCTAAGCAACCACATTCTCCAGCAGCAGTGGCACAGCTTTCAAAGCATGTGGTACAGTCTGTCCACATACAAAGAGTACCGGGCAAATGACAGTCCGCACAGATTCTGCAACAGTAAGGGAAAAAAACCGGTAAACATTACAACAAATCATAGGCTCATATTAGCCAACGAAAAGTAAAAAAATCCAGAAAGATTTACACCACCAAGTAGTAATTAACACTAAATCTTGCCATGAATTCACATGGTCACACCACCCAAACTCGTACTGTGTCACTGCATATTACTAGTGATGCAACCACTTGTCATATTGATTACTCATTCCACGATAACTTGGATTTCAACTACTTCCATCCCGTGTAACAAATGGTCCTAAAAAAAGTTTAGCACATCCCATTCCTCAGCAACAATATCACTTTGTGTGGCCATGCTACTCAACAGAGTCCAAACATTCCTTCTATCTATGTTGTATATTATTTCCAGGTTAAAAGAATGTGACAAAAAAATAACATTTATGATGAGGAAACTAGGGGTGAGCATCGGTCTCGGTCCAGAACCAGATCGAATTGAGATGGGACCGGACCAAAAACAAAAGAAAAATGAGGACCAGAACCGGACCACAGATGGTTGCCCACCCCTAGAAAACTACACATCAAAATTCAAAGTATGCACCTGCTCAAATCTGTTCTTCAAAAATATTACTAGCCAAATTGGTAAAGGCGCTTTAATGAGGTAACTTGATCAAACATAAGGTACTTTGTTAGAATCATATGATAGTAAGAAAAGGATGTACAACTCCATGAAACTATACCAGAGGACTGCTACAATAACTTAATCACCAACTGTCTTTAACAAGTAATTGTGCATATAATCACCTAACTGTCAGTTTCTCGGATGTTTCACAAGTTACATAATTTTCAGAAGATTTTCCAAATTTTTCAATACATATAAGAAAATTACAGGCATTTTCATGCCAAGACAAGTAGCATGGAAAAAATGAAACTTCCGATATGCCTGAAGTATAGCAAAAACAATATTCTCATCTAAAAAATTATATATTCATTTAGTATTGAAGGTGTCCCCAGAACTAAACATTCTGTAATCAACTATCAGCCTGCCCTTCCTCCTTTGCAAACAACCAAGGAAGTACTCATAAAGAGTCTTCATTGCAAAACAAGATAGTAATTTTTTAATACCCGAAAATGAGCAAATAGTTTATAAAGGGCAATAAAATCATCTGCACCATCATTCACAAGAAAAAATATATACATACCCCGGTTGACAACAACAAAGACACACCTCTCGGCATGGTTGAGTCAAGTCATTGCGCACTCTCCGGTCATAGCAAGTGATAAAGCACCCTGATAGACCCAGCAAGGCAAAGAACAACAGTGCCCCTGTACATTTAGATTTTACAGTCAATATAAGCTGAGAAGAAAAAGCTCTAGTCATTCAAACCATTCAAATTGCAGATACTACGGACTGATGTGGAAATAACCAGGCATCTGTCAAGCATGTGTAGGAAAACATTATGCTAAATTCTGACCAAATTCGAGAGCTGGACAAGCCACTCAAGAAGTGCAAACCAAATTTGGATGTGATTTTTATATGAAGGGTATTATGATACCGATAGTACCAGAACGGACAGTTGGCTATTGAGGTTATACCGCATATGTAGTAGAAACTAATTTCGCTATCAAATCCCCATGTACGACGTAGCCATGATTGCTGAGACCTATCAATTAGATAAACCAAATAAGCCAGTGACGAGATTACCTGCAAAGACATAAAATATATCAGTACTTGTGAACAAAAATATATTTAGATATAGAAGCAGAAACGCACAGCAATTCCAACACACAGAAGTTTTGAACGAGCAGAGAAAGAAAACCTACAAGTTGAACTGTCAGAAATATAAAAGCGATGTCCCTTGTCACGAAGAATCGAAACTTCATGGTTCTCCATTTCCTATCTGCAGCAACATGAACCCTCAGATGGTACGCCGCCTTGCAAGTTGTGCAATGTGCAAACGCAAAACCTTCCTGCAATAGTGAAACATAAATGGCATCAAAAGTCAATTCAAAACTCAACAGTATGCCTCCAAACCAAGTAAATACATAAATTAAAATATATACTTAGAGAAAAGAAAAGCAAAGACCTTTCTCATTCCTTATCAAACACGAAGTGTGTTTAGACACTAGAACTAAACGCGTATACACTGATTGAAGGTGGTAATGACAATTAAACACGACTAACTATTCCAACGCTGGTATTTCTCTATAAATCATTCACTAACACCTATATATCAACCACTTATACGCTCTATGTAGCACGCTATGGACGAGCAAGTAAGAGTTCAAATGGGAAGACAGTAGCATCCCTTACCCTTATGGCTCGCCAATGATCCAAACATTCTCGATGTACATACTTTGATGTTCCTTTGCACTTGCATGGCGCAATAAAATCCCTACCTGTCAAAACCCAGACAAGAATTGAGTCACAATGTACCAATACAAACTATCACCACACCATAACTCCAAACCAAATATCACCCCGCCATAATTCCAAACCTTCCTTCAAGTACCGTTAGAAACACAATATCAACAAAACAATTAAAGAAAGCAAGTCCATGTATCTCCTTCAACTCTCAGGTGAGGCCTTCTTTAATCTCCATTGTCAACAATACGAACAAAATGAAAACGATCATTGATGGCTTTCGAAGGAATAGGCTTAGCAAGGACTACGACTAAAAACAACCAGTACAGTGGTACATTCAAAAAAAATTATGTTCAATTGCTCTATTTAGCCGTACAAAATGGGATATTGATTTAAACCCACGTTTACATTAACAACAAGGAATGCAATTAGAGAGAAACTTGAGCTACAAATTCTCTACACTTTAACTGACTCGTGATTTCCCCAGAAACCAAACAGAGCTAGAAACGAGCAGAAATGTCCAAGCGGGGATGAACAAATTAAGTAGGTCAAGCAGCAAGCAGATAGAGAGTGGTTTTAGCAGTACGAAGAAAGAGAAATACCGTCAGTTTCGAGGCAAATTCGGCACTGAATTTGGTCGCAAGGACCTGCTTCGAGGTCGATCTCGGAGGCGTCGGTGATCGGCGTAGGAGGGACGAGCGGCGAAGGGTCGGCATGATCGGCCATCGTTTAGGAAATGAAGTAGAACAAAAGAACCCCCCCTGCTCCAATTTGGAGGAACCGATCGAGGAATTTACTCACAAGTCACAAATGATGAGAGGGCCAGAATTTAGGGGGTCTACAGAGTAGGAATTGGTGTCTCCATGGTTGGCAGCTAAAGAAGAATCGAGGGAAGGGTGAGAAAGAAGGCAAGAAAGTGAAGACGAATTTGGGAATCTCCTCTCTCTTTCTGGGGCTGAGGGGTTTGCTGCTGCAGCTCTGTGCTGCTGCGTACTGTAACTGTGACTCTGTCTGTCTGCAGGAAGTTTTGGGGTTGGCCCTTTCCCCTACTTTTCTCCCTGCCAGAGTCCCTTTCGTTTTTCGGTTTTTCAGTGGTTTCTACGTTTAGCGATCAAATTTGTACGATTTTACTATTAATCTTTAGAGCAATGCTTAGGTATGGTGTAATTTTCATACAAATTTGCCTGCTGTTGTACTATTGATACGTATTAAGCGGTCAAACTGATATGATTCTATTGTAATTGTACAATAACTATGTTTACATTAGATCATAAATCTCATGTTCTTAGTACGATCAACAAATCCCATGTTTGCATTGTGATGAACTAATGATTGACCATATGTTAAATCCAATTATTAGAGGATTGGTTTAAACTCATGTTGAATTTCAGAGACACCCCTAAAGACGTTTCAAGCATATTCGATCTAAATGTCGGACGTTTTTCTCAAGTTCTTGATAAGTTTTGGAGACTTCACTCGACAAGTCTGAACTTGAAAATTATTGGGCTAGACCGTTGTTCGGAAAAGTGAAAACAAATCCCAACAAGGAAGATGAATCCCTTAGAGCATCTACTTGCATTTTCGATTGAAAGATGACATGGTAATAACGGTATGGCTTTGCAATGCAATATCAATTGTATTGTTGTGATCACCCATTGCATAGTTGCAATTTTATAACCAACGCAATTTCGAGTACACATGAAAGCAAAAATAAAATGGGCTTAAGAAAAAGGGGGTAAAAGTGAATTTGCATGTAGTATATAGACACATATTTAACCACATGCACAATTGCAAATTTCATTGATGTAGGTGTAATAAAATTAACACAAACTAAATTACAAAAATTGTTTAGATGACGACAAAAACAACTTATACAATTGGTTTAATTATTTATTTGCGCACAAAGCTCCTATTTTTCACTATTTGTTGCAATTTTATCGAATGTCATATTTTTTCCCCATTCTCATTTCCCGTAAATGCCATAACTAACACAACCAAATTATCACCAAAGAAAAAAGTAACTACCATCTGCAGAAGATTTACTGCTTCTGCAACTTATTTTTAAGAACTTAACATTAAGCAAAAAGATTTAACCAGGCTATAAAACTTGAGCTACCTTTAACTTGTTTATTCAAAAGGGGGCACACGCCGGAAGTGGTTCTGCTCTAGGTTTCTACACTCTTCACAAAAAACTGGAAAAGGAAATAAGGAATACAGATTTATTGACAGCAAAAAAACCCTTTGATGGCAAGGAAACAATAATGTGAATCAAATACTGAGAGCACGAAAATATCCAACCAGCCCTGGTTTTCACTACACACCATCACCGGCGACCAACCGTGTGTTCTGTAGCCTACTGTCGTGGACAACCATTACGATTTACGAGTCTCACAAGGATCAGGCTGCGGCAGCTTTCTTGCAGTGGTTTTCAAGCCACTCCATCGTGACACTCTTCGGCCTCTCGAGGGGCAACCCGAGAGCTCGGTCCCATATCAGCTACAATAGACAAGACCATCAAGACTGGTTCAGAGAGAAAACAAGGACCTAAAACAAAACAAAAAGGGAAAACAAAGAGGCCACTGAAGCGAAGAGGAAAGCTGTAGGGTTGGGGGAAGCGTAAACCTGAGAGCAGATTCCGATACTCCTCGAGACACCAAACAGAACGGTGTAGTACCTGTGGCTCACAAATTTGAACAATAGTTAACATACGTCGTTCGAGTTTTGCACAACAACAAAAATGGAATGGTGATGACTCTGATGAGCTTTATTGTTTTTCTTTACTGCAGTGCAATTACCTGGCCTCTGTTAGACCGTAGTAGTTCAACAATACTCCACTGTGGGCATCGACATTAGGCCACGGGTTCTTAACCTGAATGTAATGAAGGTAAAATGAAGGGAAATTAGTTAAATCGCCAGATTGATTGTTGGAAGAAGTAGCCCCTTGCTCTGTGGTTTCTAATTGAGTTTGGATAGATCGAGCACTCGCCTTGCCCAGCTCAGTAAGAATTGGAGGTACGACATCGTAGAGCTTAGAAACCAGCTGGAAGAGTGGATCATTGGGCAAATGCTTCATTGCAAACTCTCTTTGGCACATGTATCTAGGATCGGTTTTTCGCAGGACTCCATGCCCAAATCCAGGAACCACCTACAAATATAGAGAAACGAGATGAAAAATATGTATTGTATTGAACTGTGGCATTTTAAATACAACCCTACATGGTCGTGCTAGTTCTAGTGATGGTAAATGGTTTGAAATAAAATTTGGAGATGCTTTCAATACCTTTCCACTGTTCAATGTCTTCCACACGTAATCTTTTAATTGGTCTTTACTTATATTTTCACCGCACTCCTCCACAACGGATTTTATCCATAGCAGAACTTCCTGCAAGCAAGGGGAGTAGCAAGGCAAATGAGCGTGGCAATGAAAATCAGTAGAAATAGAAGCGAAAAGATTGCTGGCAGCCACAATATGTCATGTTACTGATCAATTACACACAATTATACGCACAAAACAGACCTGATTTGCCAAGCCATGAAGGGGTCCAGCTAAACCGTTTAATGCAGCAGCAAATGAAAGGTAAGGATCAGAAAGTGCACTGGCAACCTGAATACAATAAAATGATTGATCATCACTTAATTGCAAAGAGAAACTCCTGTGAAGAATATGACTCAAAAAAGTATTTCTAAGCCCGTTTTCACACATGTACAACTTACCAGATGGCCAGTGTGTGCACTAACATTACCACCTTCATGGTCACTGTCAAGCATAAGAAGAAATAATAGCATGAGGTCTTGTGTTCGAATCCAGCAAAAAGTATGTTAAATCAAGATCACAAGACAAACCTATGGATTGTAACATAAAGCCTCATAAGCTCATGCATTTTGGGATCATCAAATCCCAACATATGCGAGAAATTTGCACCATAATCTAGAGATTCGTCCAGGGGTATGATCTTTCCATCCTTGAATATCCTACAATACCACAGTTCAGTTCACAAAGTTAGAATACTTATATGTAACAGAGGTCAACAGGAAGCAGAGGGAGACATGAAGCTGTACTCGACTTATAGAAAATACACGACAAAAGCAACCTCATGGAAATAATAAGCTGAAGCAATATTCTCTCTAGCATCATACAAAAAGGAAAAAATAACTTTGCAACCATCATAAGAACTAGAGCACATACAACAACGCTAAATGTGGTAGTTTGGAAAAGGTATTAAATAGTCAGAGACCTTCGATAGACATAAGCAGCCACTGCTGGAAGACGAGCAATCAGATTAAGAGAATCTTCAAATGTAGGCTCCCAGTACCTGAAAATAATACCATGTACAAATCAGTACTTCAAAGATCTGGATCTTCGGAGACAAATAAACACTTGAAGAAAGATGCCTTACTTCGATTTGTGAATACCCTGGTCATATGCTTTCTGAAACTCACTTTGGACCTGGAAGAGACCATTTGGGAATGTCACCAACCTCAACAATAAGAAGGTAAAGATTCATAATTATCTACAATTACTCTCTCTCTCATCTCTCTCTAGATCACTTTAAATATTTAAATGAATGGTTATTTAGGTAACCCCAGCTGAACAAGAGACCAATCAAGGAAACGGAACGGCTAAAATTAATTGTCAGCATCGAGAGAAAACAAGCTGCCACAACTCTCCATACGTTTCTCCAAAATCACACGCTATCATTTTCTGCCATGCAGCCATTACATCCTGAGGCTTGGCCAAAGAGGGATAATATCTTCTCCAAAGTTATTAAAGTGGCTGCAGGGACCTCTTACAACTCATGTCAGAGGTCCGTGCATCAATTTGTACAGCAAAGTTCCCACAAACTCGTACAGAGTTTTCACTTTATTACTTGGGGGAGACACCAGACGCTGAATTACCGTTTCAGGAGACAGAGAAACAAACACCTAAGAACAGAAAAGACAAGAAACAGGCCAGCATTAAGATAAACCTGAAGGGCCATGACACCAGTTGTAAACTGAGTCATTGGATGAGCTGAGACAGGGAGAGCATCAATGGCCTTAAATGCATAATCTGCAAATATATAAAAATAAAAGAGGAAAAAGAGACAACCCGATCAAATTATGGTCAGAACCCTAAAGGATGTAAGACTTCAATGGATGACATATGGCACAGAAAACCATCTAACCTAGGAAATTAATTTTACAGTGATCAACTAAGTAAGTTTATAGGAACAAAGATTGTGCTGAGCATAGAAAGCAAACAAATGGATTGCTTCTCAGAGAAGTCAAATGAAGATATGAAAATATTGCCACAACTAGACATGTCCAGAATGTGTAAAATGATGAGCCCTAAAGTAGAACAATACAAAATGATTAGTCAACAACAGACCTGGGACAGTAGCACGATCTCGCAATTCCTTTGATAGCGCATTAACTTGCTCCTTGCTTGGCACCTTAAACATAGAAGGACAAGAAGAAAAAGTGATTGAGGTCAGGTAAGGAACAGAAATGGATGATTATATCCAATGAAGATGTAGCTTCTTAATCATTACGAAACTAATTCACCTTTCCAGTAAGAAGAAGCCAAAGAAGACCCTCAGGCAATGGTTCTCCATTAGGCTGTGCAGCCGGTAACACCTTTTGGCACTCGGGAATTGAGAGACCTCTAAAGCGAATTCCCTGAACAGTAATTGATTATCATCAGAAGGCAACCCAAAAAAAAGTTCATTAACCACAAGGAACATGAAGTGGTCACTTAAGTTAGTTGACACCAATAGTTTCTTCAATTTAAAAAGAAAAAAGAGTATAATTTTACCTCTTCAGGATCTAGCAGTGAGGTCTCCCATAGCAATCCAACCATTCCTCTCATCCCACCAATTACCTTTCAATCGGAATGCACAAAAAGAAACAAAGATTACCTCCAGAAGTCAAAAACTGATGAAAGGATAAAAGAACCTCGAAACTCCATCTGAAAGACAAAACGAAAGAACCTAAAAGGGCATTTACCATGTCAGTGGTGATGTTTCCTAGTTGAACTTTTCCGTAATCCGATCTAATTTTTTTAAGGCGCTCCTGCAATTATAATAGACGAGATCATTCAGGGAGCTCCAACAATTGATTCACATTCAACTTATGAAAAGAGGAAAGTTCAATTCTTTCATCTAGCCGGTCACAAACAAAATATCCAAGAAAGGGAAATGCAGCAAACCTGTTGTTCTGGGATCAACTCTTTCAATTGGGAGTGCAGGTCCTACAGTCCCCAAAAAGAACCAAAATCGTCAAACCAAAACCCACAAAAAGGCAGCAGAAACAATTAAGAAATGACTAATACATCCGAAAAAAGAGCTGCAGGAGCTCAGATGCATGCACCACATTAAGCAAGAACCAGGGAAGTGTCAACGCCATTGAGAATGAAAGAGCAGGGATATCACATTGTGAATCACATTATGAGCGGGAATACAAGGAGAAGGAAGAAGAGAGTTACGAGATCAGTGGAGGTCTGCATTTGAAGCCATCTAACGGAGCCGAGATTATTAGGCTGTTGAACCTGACAGTAATCATCGCACAGAAAGTTCAAACAATCATTACCCTGAACAGTAAGAGACAAACAAGAAAAGCTACTACAACCCGACAGCAAATGGGGGGAAAAAATCTTATAGCTTACAGTGCGGGAACGGAGAGTGGAAAGACGGGAGAGGCATCTAAACAGCACCATGGCTGGCTTTCCTCGGAAGAAGCTCCAAATTCACTCAAAAAATATCACACCTGAGACAGCAACAGCCATCAACAAACACAACCCAGCAGTCAATTCATTCATTCATTCATTCCATCTCAATCTCGACCAACAAAAAGTACCCACCAGCGGAAACCAAATCAAATCAAGAGAAGAAGAACGGGAAAAAGATACAATCAAGCGTGCAGCTGAGCAAACAGCGGATCTCGATCGCCAGGAGATGAAATTTTACCTTGTTCGGCGGTGAGGGTTGGGATGCCGAAGGAGAGGGAATCAAAGTAAATATGGGGGAAAAAGGAGCGTAGGGAGTCAGCGGAAGGATTCCGAGGAAAAAGGAGAGAGTAGCGGGTCGGGCGAGAACTCTGCAATGTGGTGGGTTCTTTTGTTTCTCTTCTTTCAGCGAGCGGAACTTGGACAGGGAGAAAAATTAGAAGCCGCGAGAAAAGGGAAAATCAAACGAACCGAACTTTTATTATTATTATTATTCCGTCGTCGTCGGTCGGCCCGTCTGAAAGGTCAGAGAGGTCGGGCCGGTGACCCTTGGCGCAGGAATGTTCAGCGAGGATCATCCCCCACATGCTTATGCACGGCCACCAGTCAACGTCACGGTATAAAATTTGCGAAATTTCAATGTATCCTATATTCCTATATAATTATTTTGGTGGTCGATGAGTAAGGTTAAAGGACAATGAGCGGTAGAGCTATCAAAATATAACCCGATTTAAGTGACTCGTTCGATCAACATGACATATGACATATAATTCTGTAATTTAATTTCACTAAAAGTCAACGACTCGTATTTCAAATGATTTGCCATCGAATGATTTGAAACCCGATTAACTCAATTTGAACTCATCTAAACTCAGTTGCTTGACATGAATACATATAGTTCAGATTAGCGTACGCCAAAAGTATGCTTACTTTACAGTACTTCTTTTAACAATAATTTCTTAAGAGGGGGATCGGCTCTCAACCAGGGCCCATACTGCACGAATCTTCATTTTCAACATCTTCTTCCAAAAGTAGAGGGCAAAACTTTTTGAGATGACCAAACAATCCATATTTGAAGCAAAAGATGGGTAGTCTCTCATAACCAACTCTATAGGAGACTGTACTGTCCTTACTTTGCATTTTAACAATCCTTCTTAGAGGTTTCTGAACACACAAAGACACCCTGATACTCATATAGTCACTCCTAACTCAAGAGTGCAATTCATCCCAATGGATGAAACTTCCAAACATTGTTCCAACTTTCTCAGCCATATGAAAATTCCTCATATTCAAAGGAAACTTCCTAATACGAACCCAGAAATCATCACATGAAAAGTCAAGTTTCGTCAAATCCATACCAGGAGGAACTTCCTTAAAATATAGTAGCTAATGCTCCAGGTGCCACGGTCCTCCAAAGAGAACTTTGTTCTTGTCTTCATAACAGTAGAGTTGAATGCTCAATATATCATCTTCTATTACTTGTAGATCAAAATCTCTTTTCAGCTTCCAGGCTTCACTGAGAATCCTCTTAAGGATTCGAGCAAATGGGGCATGCCTTTAATGACTTTTCCAGCAAGACCCAGTTCTTTTATGACTTCCTCAACCCCTTCTATAGCAACCGTTTCTTCAATACTAATTATTGCTTCCTCTTCTTCAATTAAATCAATACCAGACAATTTTTTACTAGCTCATTTTCCATAACTGATGCAGGAAAACTAGAATTTGACAACCGCAAAGCACATGCCTCTCAAGGGAGACCAAAAGACAGCACAAGACACCTCAAACCAGGATACAGGGGAAACAGGAATAAGAGGGCAGGGAAGGTAGGTGGGTCAAGGATGGGAAAGGATGAAAAGAATCAGGACAGGGGTTGATCTGCAATCAAAGAAACACACTCCTAACACTTGGGAAGATGAAACGTCATAACTTGAAGACAGAGAGAAGACAGAGGGAACTCTACAGAGACAGAGCAAAACTTGGTTTTCAATCGCTCTATTTCCTTCTTTTTGCTTTCCTATTTCAGATCCTCTTTTAGATTTTCTCCTTCGATCTCTCTTCTAGAGATGATTGTCTTCCGGCTCTGTTCTGATTCTTCAGATCTAGAGATCTTTTGTTCGTGGTGGCAAAGGGTGGCTGGTTTTGGTTCTTAAGATCGGCTTGTCTTCTCGTCTTCTCGCCTCTCGTCTACCTCCTTGCTTCGCCCTGCTGATCTTGGCGTTTCGGAGATGCTAGTAGCCTTCCCCTATGGATCGGCTCAGACGCAGCTGGGAGATCAGAAGACAGAGACTCGATCTATGTGTTTTGTCGTCGGACGCCCATTCGTTCTGAAGATCGGCTCGTGCATGGTCTTCTGGGAGCATCTGAAGACGTTCTGGTCCGATGAGGTAAGGTTGGGAGGCGAGTATTGGTTCTGTTGTGCTCGTCTTGCTTCGTTCCGCATCTGGGGTGGTAAGCTTTTGCATTCCAGCCTCTTTTCGCTTCCAGTGGAGTTGGTTCTCTCTTTCGGGTGCTGGGTTGTGATGGTGGTCGGCGGATGATGTTGTTACCAGTGACGGCGGCTGCACATAGAAGATGGAATCAGCTAGGGTTGGAGTTTTGTCCTGGTGTGGGCTCTTTGTGGGTGTTTGTGGGCTAATGTGTTTTGGTGTTTGGACACTTATTTTTGGGCCTATGTGTTTGGGCTTTTCTCCTTCTTTGCTAGTTCTGTATGTTGTCTTTCCTCTGGGTTTTTACCCACATTGTTCACTTCTCAATTTTAATGAAACTGTCTTTGTCAAAAAAAGAAAAAAGAGGGAAAAAGGAGGGTGGAAAATTTTGGTGTTTTCAACTTTTTTGGGGGGAAAAAAGGAAAGTTTGGTGCTTCAAGTTTGGAAAAGAAATAAGGAGAGTTTTAGTGCTTTTGATTTATAGGAAGAGAAAGAGGTGTGAAATTTTGTTATTTTTTATTTATGGTAAGAAAAATAAGGGGGGAATGTTGTATTTTTTCAATTTTTTTTGAAGAGAAAGAAGTGAGAAAGCTTATCACAATGTTTACATATGATGGTTTAGGAGTTCAATTAATTATCAATTTGATTATTACAATGTTTTACATATGATGATTTAGTAGTGTAACATTTAGTGACTAAAATATTATATATAGCAAACCTTACTATACTCCTATAGGCATGACAAATTTGATAGAGTAGATTTCATTTGAGAACATGTAATGAGTTATCCTATCTCAAATGCATATTATTTTACATTTAGGTGAGAAACTTAATCTCACTTGCTAATTCCCTCGCCACATGTTCATTTAGGTAGGAAACATTCTCTCCTCATTTTAATATTTTTATCCCAACTTTTCACTTACCCAATATTTCTCTCTCCAGTTTTCGTTATTCTCATTTTGCTTTCTCTCTACAATTTGTCTCTACCACAATGAAAATTTAAGGAGGGAAAATTCCCTCCAATTCGGCAAACCAACTTTTCAATTCCTTTATTATTAAACCCGATTCTCATCCCCATAAGCTGTTGTTTATGCCTTGTATAGATTTTTCATACTGAAATAAATTAGAATTATTGATTGACAGCGACATGCAAAAATTTTCAATGAACCTTAATTCATATATTGTTTTGTTAAATAAAAAGTTTATACTTTACACATTATAGAATTAAGCATGTAAATATACCCTAACCTCTAATGGGTGAACCCCAGTCACTAAATCTCTAACCCAAGCCAAAAGATTCATTTAATCTAAAACAAATAACCAACGGCTTTGATTCAGCGAAATATATTGAAGTGCAAAAACCAAGCGTGAATACTGACGTACGCTATATATACACAACTTCTATCGTACAACAAACATATATTGAGGTATGTCGTACACCAGCAATCTCCACCGTCCACGTCCCTCTCAACGGCTAGCATTAATGCGGATTCTTTTTTTGTGGGATTAAAAAATAAATTACCTCATTTATGCTGGTCGTTGAGATGGACGTGGACGGTGGAGATTGTCTGGTGTACGACTCACAAAAATGAGTGCGTTCAATGCACCCAACTCAAAAATTAGTCTTAAGGTGTCAGATTTTGAATTTTAATTTGTAGAATTAGTGTAATATGATGATATAACATATGATAACAACTAATTAGCGAAGTACCCTAAGCCCTAGACCTCCAATTTTGAGTTCTATCCCTAAACCCCAAATGTAAACCCAACCCTAAATCTCTAAACTCTAAATCCTTGAAATTAAAGTAAATCTTTAATGGTTTTTGTGCAAATTCATGTGATTTATTGTTCATCACATCATAAGTGATGATTGACATCATTTTGACATAAACCGCATGTTTAAAATGACGGTTATGGAGCGAGTGCGCTGAATGTACCCAAAAAAGTGAGTGCACCAAAGACGCCACCATATATAGATATAGATAATTCATATCTTCTTTTGTTACTAAATTTCTCTTTTCGTTGCAAAATGCTACCAAAAGTTCTTTTTGCTTGATATATATTGCCACCCAACTTCTTCCTTCCATTTTCAATATCTGTTTTGAAAATCAAAGTCTGAACTTCACTTTAAATTAACTATAGTAGCAAAATCATAACTAATAAGAATATATGGTTAGTGTACAGGGTATATGATTTATGATATATGTTTAAAGTATAGCAAAGATACATTTTTCATCTATGTTTTGAAAATCAAAGTCTGATATTTCACTTTAAATTAACTATAGTAGCAAATCATAACTCATAAGGATATATGGTTAGAGTATATGGTACGTGGTTAGGGTATAAGGTATATGGTATATGTGAAGGGAATAGAAAAGATCCCTTTTTAATATATGTTTTGAAAATCAAAGTCCGAATTTCACTTTAAATTAACTATAGCGGCAAAATCGTAACTCATAATGATATATGGTTAGCGTATTAGGGTATAAGGTATATGGTCAGAGTATAGCAAATATCATTTTTTTAATCTATGTTTTGAAAATCAAAGTATGAATTTCACTTTAAATTAAATTTAGTAGCAATTTAGATTTCTCCCCAACAATTTCACTAATATTAAGATAATTAAAAAAAATAAGTTTTGAAAACTCCAAATGTATAATTAAAGTTCACTACACCACTTTCCCCTCACAATTTAGATTTCTCCTCACTTCCCTTCCCCCAATTTAGATTTCCCTCCAAAAATTTATCCATTTCCTCCCGTACCATTTAGATTTCCCCTCGACCTGTTTCTTTCAATGATTGATGATCAATTGCTAGGCACTATTGGTAATTGCTTTGTCTTGCTTTTGGTTTTGGGGTTAGTTTATAGGTATCGATCATATTGTGTAGATCCTAGTTGGTAAGAGTTGATGTCAAAAATCATTTTTTGATGATATAACATAAACCGATTCATAAAAAGAATTAAAATATAAATAATAGTCAAGTTAGCATTCTAATTAATTAAATACGATTATTAAACGTGTTATACGTGTTTAGTACGAGATCTATCAAATGAATGGAGAAAAATGAAACGATTTGACAATAATATGAATATGTAAGTTTTAGACGAATAAAATACACATGAATATATGGAATAGGTTAGGGTGATTACTCAATTTTGAGTAATCACGGTGGCTACCAACATCTATACCATTCATTATCTTTATTTTATTATAATTTTAAATTAATGATTAGGATTAGCTAAGGGTAATTTAGGAAATGAAAAACATACCACACCTGATTACTGTATATATTTGACTCAAACCCTAATACCTAGCCGTCGTCTCCTCCCTCCTCTCCCTGTCGCTCCCGCTCTAGATCAACCCCCGCCTCGTCGGCTCTGCCTTCCCGGCCGACTCCGAGGCCATCCTTTCTTCCTTCTTCTCCTCCACCCACACCTCCGACCAACCCCCGATTCCGTCCCACTGCCTCGCCGTCCGCCACAACCCTCACCCCCGATCCCGTCCCACCTCACAGCGGCTCCCACTGCTCCCACCTCACAGCGGCTCCCACTTCCCCTCTTTCTGATTTGGGGTTTTTCTTGATTTCAATTTTCCCGGCTGCCAAACAATAGCCGGGCCGGTGGGAAGGATTGTTTGGTTAACGCCAAGGTGATTTCAAATGGTAGTCATTTTTTAAATGGTAGTATTTTTTCCGTAGTGGTAGTGTTATTGTCGTATTGGTATAGTTTTTGTCGCATTGGTATTGATTTTGTCGCATTGGTATTGATTTTGTTACATTGGTATCGATTTTGTCGCATTGGTAGTGATTAAATCTGCAATGGTATTGATGTTTTGCGAAATGGTAGTGTTTTTATTTCTTGAATGGTATTGATGTTTTGTGAAATGGTAGTGTTTTTATTTCTTGAATGGTAGTTTTCGTGTAATGGTATAAATTTATTTCTGCAATGGTAGTTTTCGTGTAATGGTATAGATTTTTTTCTGCAATGGTATTGATATTTTTCAAAGTGGTAGTGTTTGTCTAATGGATTGGTACTGATTTCAGTTTTTTTTTTGGTAGAAAGATTGAGAAAAATATGGAAAGGAAATCTGGCTGGAGATTACGGAAGTGAGAGAAAGAGAGATTTTTAATTAATAGATTTTTATAACTGCCTTAAATGTAATTTATTAAAAAATTAATTAATATAATTTATTTTTCCATACCCAATTTACCCTTAGTAACCACGGTGATTACTATAAAAAAGTACTCACCGTAACCGCTCCCTGAATATATATACCTGTATTAAACCAACTATTCTCCAAATACTGTGATTTTCTTACATCTAACACCACTGGGGAAACTTTCAAAAAAAAAAAAAAACACCACTGGGGAAACTTGTTATACCAACAGATAAAATGGACTAATGGAGTGTGTCGTAGTGGATTAACAGGGGAAAATTCACATGAATATGTAAGTTTTAGACGAATAAAATACACATGAATATATATACCTGTATTAAACCAACTATTCTCCAAATACTGTGATTTTCTTACATCTAACACCACTGGGGAAACTTTCAAAAAAAAAAAAAACAATGGAGTGTGTCGTAGTGGATTAACAGGGGAAAATTCAGGCGTTTTACAAAATTCACATGAATATGTAAGTTTTAGACGAATAAAATACACATGAATATATATACCTGTATTAAACCAACTATTCTCCAAATACTGTGATTTTCTTACATCTAACACCACTGGGGAAACTTTCAAAAAAAAAAAAAAAACAATGGAGTGTGTCGTAGTGGATTAACAGGGGAAAATTCAGGCGTTTTACAATTAAAAAAGGGGAAAAATTTCCGTTGCCGGGACTTGAACCCGGGTCTTTCGGGTGAGAGCCGAATATCCTGACCAACTAGACTACAACGGACTTGTTGTTGTAGATGCTAACCGTACCGATAAATAATCGACGTTGAAGTAGAGTGAGCATACTGGCATCGGCATGCCTCCAGGGGGTTAAAATGCTGTCTAATATGCTTTATTTGTTCTTCAACAGCTGCAAAACAAAGCATCAAACTGAGCCCACAATAGATTAGAAACCCAACTTCTTAGATTCTGATAGCTTTTCGAACGGTTTCTCGTGTTCTCTCGAAATATGCTTATGACTCAACACTCAACAGACTAAAAAGATTCATTCAATTCAACAAGGAAGCTCTCGAGGAAAAGACACCTCTCACGATGATAAAAGTGACAGCAGCATGATCCAGAAAGATGAAAGCAGACATGCGAATCATATCTTCAGGACGCGGCTTGTTATTCCTAAAAGCAACAGTGGTCTGTGACCAAAAAATGAATCTTCACAGCTTTGACAATTGTCGTAGAATAGCCCACCGACGAATCAACAAGGAAGTCTGCGGGTAATTGAAAAGAGAAAAATCGTCATTGCATGCAATGCTTCGAGATAGGCATATAGACATGAATCAATGATCAGGTTGTCAGTCTTGTTAGACAGATATAGAGAGAGTTACCAGCATCTATCTTTTTTATCTCGGTAATTGTATTGTCGTTTTATTGCTCCACTTGACCAATTATAGTCAAGCACTCGAAAAACAATCTGCCAGAATCAGCAAGAATACAGCCATACGACTAGTTACAGCCTACTATTAACTACTTGCTATACACACTACTAGTTACAGTCACTATTGAAATCACTTTTACAGTTTCAAATTGCTCTCAGCATTCCTGCAAAACTGGACTGTGCCAGCAGGGCATTCCGAAACTCCCGACCACCAAAACTGCTGTACTGCACTTCAGCCTTAATCTGACCAAACACTTCCAACCAGCTTCTACCTTCTGCTCCAAAACTCCTCTTGCATCTTTTACTCAAAATTAATAAAACGTACCAGCACCAAAGGCTTCCATAAATGCACCCATTCAGCTTACCTTGTGCAACAAGTCTGCAAATTTTGTCTACCATCCCAATCCATTCGACACGCTAGTGCGTGGTAGGGGACAGAGCTGCCAAAACAGTTTGAGTGTAAGGGCAAGCGCAGAAGACACGATCCCTAAGACACAGCAATCGGAATCTACAATCCCCCAGTGTTTCAGCTGCAATCTCATTTTGATTCGGTTTCTTAGTATCAACCAGCATCATTTTTAGAGAAACACATGGGTGGTTTTATTCGAAAGACGTTTCCATGGAGTCCTTCTTTCCCAACTAAAATACCGAGCTATGCAGATGGCAAGGTGAAATGACGAGTAGCTAATAAACCAGATTGAAGAGAATTTAATGGCAAAATGCTCTATTAGTTTACCAGGGAATTTCTCACATAAGAGTGTTGTTTCAGCTTTGGCAGGCGTCTTCTCCTTCCTGTCGGTCACTAGCTCTATGCCCACCATCTACCCTCTGCCTCTAATATCTCCAATGACTGAAACCAGATTTGGAAATATACTTAAAGATTCATTCATCCCTTAACGGTCAGGAATTTTTCACCAAAGTCAAGTAAGAGAAGTTTCATCATAGGTTCAAAATATCTAAATGTAGGTATAAACTTTTTTTTCTAAATGTATCAATTCATATATGCCTGTTTGACTATTTAATAGTGTTTGTAAAACCACACCGTACCAACCGTCCGACCAAAAAAACTGCCTATCCGAGTTCAAGCCTGTATAGGATTTTATCGGTATGAAACAGTTGAACAGAGTTTGAGCACAAAATATACTACCACGAATTTATCCAGCACAACCTCTGATATGGATTTACAATCCTTGCTATTTATGCAGCAAATAGAAGACCAACAGCTAGATGCGATCTTCTCATCGAGCTTTTCTCATGGATTGATACCCTAGGGAAATCAGGAGGAGATGTTACAAGCTAAGCATAAACTTTTCATAGTGTTGTATGAAGTTTGGTCACAGAGACACTAATCGGCGTTGTATTAGATACAGTGTGCATTAGCGAAGCATCTGATATGCAGACACACCACTGAATCTTCACATGGGATGAAAGTAAAGTTGGAAGGAAAATTAGTAATTACTTTCATATTTTTCTTTTAGATCTCTCAGACGTCCATTTCACCACTAACCAACAATCAAATTATAGAGCATGGAATTAAAGCTAAAGCATTCAGAAGTTCTAGCGGAGAATACCTGTGGTATGGTGTACTTTCATGGGTTCAGAGACGAAAGTCCAATAGTATTCAAGCTTCCACCGTGAGCCATTTCTCAAAGATATCATTTCAAGATTACCACTGTATAACCTGGCCATCATCATCGCCAATACATTTGGCTCTTCTATTTCCTAGTTGCTACCATAATTTGCCTCTTCATCCCAAAGGTCCTAACAGGACTCTGGTTATACTGATTGCTGCATATCTTCCATTTCCTACCAGTAGTCCTTACAAGAACAGGAACCATCTCTGAAATGATGGAATCGGGTAGCATCTCTCACAATGATCTCTCTCCTAGTGAGCTTGGATATATACTTGATAGCCGTGTGACAATCGTTACATATCCTGAGGTTCTTCATTACCCTCAAAGTCATATTCTCTTTTGTACAGATCAGCCCAAATGCAATCGCAAGCTTCTCACTGTGATACTTCAAGATCTGATCTTTTACCTCCACTTCAAGATCATGCAACACAGAAGCAGTATCAGGCACAAAGCCCATTTTTTTAATCTCATCCCATATCCCGTCCATCTTCTCATATATTTCCAACTTCCGAGGATGCACCACATCGTCAGCACCAAACACATGAACACTGTCCCCAACCTGAATCCAACTAGACCCTTGCTCTTTCTTTACTCCATTATCCTTCATCAACTTCCTCGTTTTGGCAGCGTCCTCCCATTTCCCAGAGGCAGAGTAGAGATTCGCGAGTGATGAATATGCGCCACTGTTTTCAGGGTCAAGAATCAGCAATTTATCAGCAGCTTCTTTTGCCAGCTCGACGTTTTTATGTACTTTGCAAGCAGAGAGAAGTGAACCCCATACAATAACATCTGGTTCGATAGGCATGTTTCGGATTAAATTGTACGCCTCTTGTAGTAACCCAGCTCGTCCAAACAAGTCCACCATACAAGCGTAATGACTCAGCGTTGGCTCGATGTTGTGAACATTTTGCATAAGGTTGAAGTAGCCTCTGCCTTGCTCCACGTGTCCTATATGTATACAAGCAGACAGCACACCAACGTAAGTTATATGGTCGGGGTTGATGGAAAGCGCCTGCATTTGATCAAACAGTTGGAGAGCATCTTCCCCGAGACCATGTTGGGCTAAAGCTATGATAATGGAAGTCCAGGTGGTCGTATCTTTGTTCCACCACCTTATGAGATCAAATACTTTTCGAGCATCAGCGATGCTCCCTGATCTCGAGTACATTGTAATGATTGCACTAGCAACTGATGATGATAGACGACCATTCATGGATCTCAAGATGCTTGCGTGCATTTGCTTTCCATGATTCAAGGAAGCCATGTTTGAACAGACACCCAAGATGGCAGAAAGCGTGTGACTGTTGGGTGTTGGCCCTTCTTTGACCATTTTTCTGAACAGCTCCAGTGCAGCATTGTGTACACCATTCTGAATGTAACCTACAATCATGGCTGTCCATGCAACCACATCTTTCTCTTCCAAAGAGTTGAAAATCTGTCGAGCTGGAGCGATGTTGCCAAGCTTCATATATCCATCTAACAGAGCAGTAAATGCTACATCGTTGAGATTATCAATCCCTCTTAAGTTTATGACTCTGTGTGCAGCTTCAAGTCCTCCGCATTTTGCATACACTGAGACCAGAGCATTTCCAACAGCACCAGAAGTATCAAACTTTGTCCTAATAATATATCCATGGATTTGTTTCCCGTACTTTAAGTTCTCAGTATTGGCACAAGCAGATAAAGCACTTCCTAATGTGAACCTATTGGGTTTCAGTGAAGGATCCTTCATCATGCTCGAGAAGAATCTCAGAGCTTTATTGTCATGACCAAGCTGATTGAAGCCAGAAATCATTGAATTCCAGGTGATGATATCGTGTTGACTCATTTGATGAAATAGTTCTACAGCTAGCTCGACCTTCTTGTTCTGCAAAAGCGATGTGATAAGGGTATTCCAGCTCGATATGTCTCTTAATTCCATTCTACTAAACACGGTTTCAGCCATGACCAAATCCTGACCCTTTGCGTACATATTGAGAAGTGAATTCGCCACAGGAGTGCACCCACTGAAGCCTAGTTTAACCACGAACGAATGGATGTTTTTCCCAATGCCCAGAGACCCAGTAGCAGCGCATGAAGCGAGCACATTCGTCAATGTGAACTGAGATGGCAATACGTCATCTTTCACCATCTCAGCAAACGTCTCGATTGCATTGGCAAAACTACCCATTCGATTATAACCCACAATCATCGTGGTCCATGTAACCGAATCCCGTTCAGGAATTTCATCGAACAGGAGACGGGCTTCCTCGATTGCCCCGTTTCTCGCGTACCCGGAGAGAATACCGTTCCACGAGCAGTTGGTCCTCACAGGCATTCTGTCGAACACTTTGTGAGCATCCGAAATGGACCCAGTTTTCGCGTACAGGCTGATGACATTGTTCATCGCGTAGGCGCTGAATGTGAGTGCCAGCTTGACGATATGGGCATGAACCGATTTTCCACAGAGCAAGTTGTTGGATTTGAGGCTTGCTTGGAGGAGACCGGCGTAGTTTGCAACCGCAGAAGAGAAGAATTCCGGGTTCCGAAACTCCATTAGAGACTGGATTTCAGAGCAACACCCGAAGAGCAATTTTCTCTATTCTCGACCAACCAAGTCAGCACGGCGTGATACGTACCGGAGAAACCAAATCAAATCTGGAGAAGAAAGGGGAAAACACAATCAAGCGTCCAGCTGAGCAAACAGCGGAACTCAATCGGAGAAGATGAAATAACCTTGCTCGGCGGTGAGCGGTAGGCCTTGGGATAACTCAGGGGAGGAAAAAGGGCGTAGGGAGTCGGCGGAAGGATTCCGAAGGTGAAGGAGAGAGAAGCGACTCAGGGGAGAACTCTCTTCTGTCTTCTGTTCTGTGTAGTGGCGTGTTTATTTTAGCGAGTGAACTTGGGACAAGAAACTGGAGAGGAAAATTAGAGCCCGCGAGAAAAAAGGGGGGAAAAGGAGTTAATTGCATGGTTGGTCACCGAGATTACTAAAAACGTTCATTTTTTATCACTGGAAATATTTAATTCCGTTAGTGATCATTAACTTTAGTGAAAACATTTATGTTTGGTCACTCTCCGTCAGTCGCCGTCCATCTCCGTTAATTTGGTTTGTTATGTGCTGACGTGGCAGCCGAAATTGTCTAATCAGCTTTATTTAACTCGAAAATACTCAGGCCTGACCCGCCACGTCACCCATACCCACCATGTCATCCTGACAAGCCAAATCCTTTAACTAGACCCGACCCGTAAACCGAACCACTCAAATTAAATCCCTAAAATCTAAAATAGATCCACTTATCCCCTTCTCCAATCTACATATCTACTTATCCCCTCCATTTCCACAATGCCTTCTCAGATGTCGCAAAACCCTAACGCCTCGTCACCAATCGATTCGAGGAACGAATTCTGTCCATTAACCAAGATCTATCGTAGTCTCAGATCTCCGACGCCACTTCCACCAGCAACCGCACCGCTCTCCATCACTGATTACGCATTCTCGCTCATCAGTTCCTTCCCTCCGCCACCGAAAGCCTCAGCTTTCGTCGACGGCGACAATGGCCACCGCATCTCCTCCTCCGAACTCATATAGAAACAGACCCGAAAGATAGTTAGTTGTCAAAGATGATTTAGTAGTATTGGAACTCATCATCAACATCATTACAGAGTTAAGATCATCCAAACACGTCTGCAAGGAAGGGAGTAAAAATAGAACCCATGAGGGTTTATTAAAAGATTAAATTGCTTCCTTCCATTCCACTCCTCGTCGCGTCGTCGTGCCCACTGCCCAGTAGATAGCTGCTCCACCGCATCTCTACATCCCGCAGGCTCGGAGCGCGAAATCCTTCACCAGGTCCAACTCTCCAAACGTAGAATCGGGTTCGCGAAATCCGCCGTCACGAAGAAAATTCCTCACACCGTCAAAACCGTCCTCCTCGACTCGCTCACGGTGAAAACAAGATCTGGAGAAGTCGAACCAAGGGGATAAGTGGATCTGTGAATCGAAGAAGGGGATAAAATTTTAGGGATTTAATTTGAGTGAGTCGGTTCATGGCTCGGGTCTGGTTAAAGGGTTGGGCTGGTCATGCTGACATGGTGGGTATGGGTGATGTGGTGGGTCGGGTCTGAGTATTTTCGAGTTAAATAGGGGTGATTAGACAATTTCATCCGCCACATCAGCACATCATGGACTTCATTAATGGAGATGGACGACGACTAACGGAGAGTGACCAATCATGAACGTTTTCACTAAAGTTAATGATCATTAACGAAATTAAATATTTCCAGTGACCAAATATGAATGTTTTTAGTAATTTCGGTGACCAACCATGCAATTAACCCATATAAATAATAGTATTTTTGGGATGTTTGTCATGGGAATTTAACTGCCTAGTCAGATTGGCTTATTCTCGATTTTGATCATATTTGACTAATATTGACCAAAATTACAAACCAGACGCTAATAGCCTGTTTGGCACCCTACACCGATTGTACCCAGTTGAACCGTTCAAAATGACACCGATTTGTAGGGGTAGTCATTGAGTGGGTCGGGTGAATTTTGGCCGTAAAACTAACCCACCTACATCACTGCGGGTTGGTTACTGCAAATGAATGATGCTTTGTGCAGCAGGTTGTATTTGTTCATCAACAGCTACAAACAAAGTAACAAACTGAGGCTACAACAATAGAAACCCAACTACTAATATTTTGAGAGCTTTTGAACGCCTCCTTTTGTTCTATGGGGACTATGCTTATTACTCAAAAGGACTAAACATTCATTGAACAAGTAAGCTCTCAAGGACACTTTGGTCGATAATAGAAGTGACAGCCGTGTGATCGAAAGAGACAGAAAGCAGCCATGCGGATCGTAACTTCAGGACGCAGCTTGATATTCCTAAAACCAACAGCGGTATGCAATGAAAAAGTTTTGAAGGTTCACGTTCTTGAGTTCTTCCAATCATCTTCACAGCTTTGACATAGAATAGTCCAACGCATCGACAAGGAAGTCTGCGGGTACATGAAAGAGAAAAATCGTTATTGCGTGCAATGCTTTGAGATATGCATATAGAAATGAATCAGCGATCAGTGTCAGTGTTGTTAGATAGGGAGAGACAAAAAGGGAGTTACCAGCATCAGCTTTGGAGAAACACATGGGTGGTTTTATTCGAAAGACGTTTCCATGGAGCCCTCCTTTCCCAACTAGAATACCAAGCTCTGCAGAGGGCAAGGATAAATGACGAGTAGCTAATAAACCAGATTGAAGAGAACTAATGGCAATATGCTCTGTTAGTTTACCTCGGAGCTGCTCAAATAAGACTGCCGTTTCAGCTTTGGCAGGCGTCTTCTCCTTCCTGTCGGTCACTAGCTCTATACCCACCATCAACCCTCTGCCTCTAACATCTCCAATGACTGAAACCAGATTGGACATATAACAACAGATTCATCCATCCATTTATGACCCAAAATCATTCTGCAAAGGTCAAGTTAAGAATAAGAAGGCTTTATATTATTCTCACAATAACGAAATGTACCAATTCATATATGCCTGCTTGACTATTTATGCAGCACATAGAAGACCAATAGCTAGATGCGAGCTTCTCATGGAGCTTTTCTCATGCATTAGTACCCTATGGAAATCAGGAGGAGATGGTGCAAGCTACGCAGAAACTTTTCGAAATGTTGCATGAGGTTTGGTTACAGAGCAACTACCCGGTTTTGTAATCAATGCAATGCATTAGAAGGTGTACAAAGGTGAAAGGACGAGAGTGTGGCTAGGGAAGAAAATATCTCATATGCAAGCACGCACAACTGAATCTTCACATGGGATGAAAGTAGAGTTGGAAGGAAAATTACTGTCGTATTTTTCTTTTAGATCTCCCAGACGTCCAATTAGATGACTGCCAACTTCAGCACAATGTTGCTGACGCTTCTCTTTGTCAAGAACTCTCAAGACAGCAAGTCCACCAGCAGAACAAACCGGGTTCCCACCAAAAGTGTTGAACTGGATTTTCTGAGACATCACACTAGCTATTTCTGGTGTTGTCACCACTGCTCCAAGTGGTAGACCATTGCCGATGCCCTGAGATCACACACAGTAAATGACATGCTACCATTGAAAAAACAACGTTCATGAATTAGTGACGAATGCTTTTGATTTTGGTTACCTTTGCCATTGTAACTATGTCAGGGATGACACCTTGTGTTTCAAATCCCCAATAGTGACTTCCGGTTCGTCCAAACCCGGTTTGAACTTCATCAGCAATGCATACCCCACCAGCCTTTCGAACGGTATCATATACCATTTTCAAATACCCTGGGGCCAATTCAACTGCTCCTCCAACTCCCTACATTCAGCAATTTGTCCCACAAGCTATGTCAACATTTTGGTTATACTACTCGAGAATATGTAACTCATGCAAACCAGGATTACCAACCTGAATTGTCTCCGATATAAATCCAGCAACTCTTCCTGAAGTGCCGTAAGCAATGTGGTCCTCTACATCTTTGGCATAACCAGCTGCATCGGAGCCAAAGATCCCTCGGTATGGATCAGGGTTCATGACATGGTGGATTTCACCCTGCAGCATGTGAAATAGATTTAAGTAACTGATGAGCATTTAACCACCAAAGCAATAATCTTATAATCAGATTTTTGTGCATGGAAGCAAAGCTAAAGCATTCAGAAGTTCAAGCTGAAAATACCTGTGGTATGGGGTACTTCCATGTGTTCAAGGCCGTGAGGCCAATAGTATTCGAACTTCCACCGTGATAGGCATTTCTCAGAGATATCATTTCAAGATTACCAGTGTACAACCTAGCCATCATCATCGCCAGTTCATTTGCCTCGGACCCAGAATTCACAAAATACACAACCTGCATACCCACCATTACAAAATCAACCCAACAGACAAACGAAATCATCAGTTTAACTACTACATATCAACTAGTGAATCAAACCCCAATTAGGGGGAACCACAATCGGGCCATTCAGGAAAACTGATGAGAAGGAAAAGAACCTTAAGGTTGCCAGGCATCTTTTCGGCCAAACCCTCGGCAAAATCAGCAATCGCGTGGTGCAAATAAATGGTGGTCGCATGCTGCAGAAGCTCACTCTGCTCAACGATCGCTTTCAAAATCTCCGGATGGCAGTGACCAGCAGAGACAGTCACGATCCCTGCAAAAGCATCCAGATATCGCTTCCCGCTCTCATCGAACAGATATTGCATCTTGCCCTCCACTATATTCAACTACCATAAGATCAAAGAAAAAAAACAAGCATACTCAGTAAAATCAAGCAAGGGGAAAATAGAAAATCAAGATGATTTCTCGATGAGACCTCACAGGTTTCTGATAGTAGTAGAACAGAGAAGGACCCAGATAAGTCTTGCGCTTCTGGAGCACTTCCTCGGCCGAAGGACCCTTGTAGGGCTTCGGCCGGTGATCGAACGGCGGGAGCTGCGGCGGAGAATCGGCGGGGGCCGCGGAAGAGGAAGGAGACGCGGAGGACAAGCAACGGCCGCCGGCACGAGCGAGCTGTGCGAAGTTGTTTCCATTGGC